CTATAAACCGGCAAGCCTCCGTCCGGTCTTCATTTCAAATTAAGATGGTTCTTTTTCCACGATAGCAAATATAGCCAACCGTGCCACATGTATCTTCCTATATCTCGCAGGTGATGGAAATCACCCGACTTCTACGCGTTTAAGCAGGACTAAGCACTACTCGAGCTTTGAGCTACATAGGATTTAGGGTAACAATATCCGGACAAGGAATTGGGTAACCAATGCAAAGCAATTGTTTGCATCCAACCCTAAACTTAATGCAACAATATATGTAATAATAATCATCAGAATCGCATTTGGAAATTAGGAGGCTTAATATGCTCGGGGCTTGCCTTTCACAAAGTTGCAAGGACGGTGTCCTGGGCACTCAACGGCGACCTCGTCTCGCACTTCTCACGAAGGTCTGCTCCTCTGAATCTCCGATGTCATTTCTGCCTTTGCTTTCGCTTTCGGTTCCTCGAATTCAGCAGAGGTTACTCCTTCCGGTACACCTATTGCATGCCGATGCAAAAGATAAATACCATGGATGCATAAGGTATGACATGATGCTCATGATGAATGGATCGTAGTAAGTGTTTACGAACGCATTACTGGACACTCGTTTACCGAGTAAGACTAGCCCTATTCAAATCACTTTAAGCATATTTCTAACTTAACTGAAAGAACAAGATTAACTTACCTAACTTGCATAACCTAAGATAAAGATGCTCATCTTCGGTTAAAGGCCTAACACCTAGGAACATTACCACAACTTAGAAATAATAAAGGTATACATAATTTAACATTTAAGTTTCATATGCATACAAGTAGTCCCTTAATTAAATCACAACAAGAGTTATACAAATCCAAATGACTTGTATGAGGACATTCTGGAAAGCTTATGAAATGTTCTACAAATCAATGGTAAACAGCAAAGCATGATTCTGATGTTAACCAAATCAATTTCCAGCAAACCTAGAATCTATCCAAAATGACAGGGTTACTAACTTAATTATTTAATGATTGTGCAAAAGCATACTTTGATCAAACCAAGTTTACCAACTTGTTTTTCATACCTAAGAAACATCAGAAAGTATAGTGCCATCTTCTAAATAAATTATTTAATATCCTTTTTCAATTTATTTAGTTAATTAGGTGATTTAAGCAATATATAGTAAAACTATTCATAAAAATCTACAAAAATTACAGTAGCTATCTCATGCTGCACATAGACCATCATAAAAATTTCAAAGCCATAGGACCAACATAACTTGCTGTATCCAAAATAACAGATGACATGTCTAATTTGAGCATAATTAGGAAACCCTAATGAAAAAGTGTCAAGCAACAGATTTCACATTTTTCCTAACATCATTCTAGCATAAAAACCTTACTCACCAAATTTTACCTTTACTGGATCTACAGAAAATTTATGAAAATTCACACAAGATCCATCCATTAATAAAAAGAAATTCTATAATTCAAAAACTACACATGCACTAGCTCTGAAATTTTAAATAGAGCTTCTAATAAGAATTAACAGACTACCCACAAAATTTCATAATTTTTGGACCACAGAAACTCAAGATAAAATTCAAACAAGTTTGCATGCATCTAAAAACACATTTCAAAGTCATATTTAATTCATCCAAATTTTCTAAAACATATTCTCATATAATATTTTTATTAAATACTAGACATTACTAGGAACTCAACAAAACTAGAACCACATCATTTGGATCCACCATCTAAGAGCTACACATTTTTGAATATGCACATAAATCTGTGAATAATCAAACAAATCAAAAATAGAAATCCTAACAGCTACTGGGCCAGCCCAAGAAACGGCGGCCCGCGAGCACACAGGCGCGGCCCAATACGCGGCCCACGCAGGGTTCCCGCCTCAGCCACGACGCTGACTGGGAGGACCCGCGCGTCAGCGAGAGGAGCAGGGGAGGCGGCCTCGGCGACGGTGGAACTCGCCGACGGTGAACCCTTCGGTGAATCGAACAGCACCGGCGTGCTTCCCAAGTCCCCACGCTTCGATTTCCCTACCAAGCCGAAGCTCTAGTGGTCCCTAAGCGCGCCGGCCATGGCGCACGGCGAATCGGCCATGGCGCACGGCGGCGCTCGGCTGTGTCCCGGCGTGGCTAGACCTACATGGTGGCTCTACGAGCTTCAGTAGGGTTCACAGAAGTCATCGCAAGGGGGAGAAAAGGATGGAAGGGGCTTGAGCAGCACGGCCACGCGCGCTCTTGGCCGGCGGCGGTCATGGCGACCCGGTGGAGCCGCCTACGCGGTGATCTCTACCTAGCGCGAAAACGCTGTGATGGTGTGGTCGCGGACGGGGAGAAGCTCACTGCAGGGCTATGGCTTGGACGAATCGGGCAATGGAGCTTGGTTACGGTGGATTTTTGGCTCGGCGGCTTCGGTGATCCAGCAGAGCTACGGTGAGCAAAGGAGGCGAAGGAAGGGAGAAATGGAGCGGCGACTCGGTGAGCAGGCGCGGGGTGGCTTCAAGGCGCGGCTGCGACGCCAGGGTGCGCACGGCGCGTGGCCAGCGCGCTCAGGCGAGCGGCGACAGGTGGCGGACACGCGGCTTCAAGTTTCTGAATCGGTCGGCCAGGGTGACTCTGACGGTTATCTGAAAACGCGATTCAGTTGCTAATGACAATGCCTGACAGCGAGTATTCGACGATGATTTTCTCCTAATCCGTGATGAGTTAGTGGAAGAATTGAACATCAAAGTTGTAGACCTATCTTCCCTCTACAAATTCTTTTCAATGACCAACACCTAAAACGCCATGGATCCGAAGTTACATGAAGCCAAAGTGAGCTCGATGCAACTGAAATGCAGTTAAGACTTAGCATATTTTTCAGTGTTGCAATCAGCATGTATTTCTGACTTGTGGGCCATGTTTGAGCATGTTCTAGCCATTTTCATGAGATGATCATAAAACAACTTTTGTTCCTTAATAAATTAGCTACAACTTTTGTAAAGAGTGTACAGCCATGCACAGCTTCCAAGTTGGTCTTTTGAATCAGTCAAACAGTGTCACTCTAAGGGTCATTAAAAGTCAAACCTCTCCTAAAGGGCAATTTGGTCATTTTGGTCCACATGAACAATGTCCAAACAATTACCCTAAGTATAGTTAAGGTGTATTAGACCATGATCAACCACTTTACCAAGTTGTTATACCACTTCTAATGATCACATGTGATACAGCAATTAAAACAAGCAATTCACTCATATGTTTCAATACAATGTTTCACATGTTACATGACCTGGTTGTTATCCTATGCTTGTCACATTACTACCATTTTGCCATGCTTCAAGATGTGAGAAATTTATGTTGCATTCACAGATTACACCAATACTATTCACAACAATCAAGCAGGAAACATACACAGTTGAAAATGTTGCATATGCATGTTTTAGTAACAATGGCAATGATGACATAGATGATGCATATGTTTATGAAATGAAATGCAATTAGTGGAAGCCTAAACACCTAGGGTGTTACAGCTGCTGCTCCTCTCCTCTCCCTCTCCTCCCCCATGGTTCCAGGAGCGCCGCGTGCCCCCGACTGTGCTCCGCAGCGCCACGAGCCGGCGGCGGCGCTCCTCCCCGCCTTCCGCCCGTCCTCCACACACCTCGTTCCCTCCCTGGCCTGCGGCGGCGGCGTCCTCCTCCTCCCCCACCACGGCGGCTCCTTTCCCCACACCGACATCTCCTTCCCCGATGCCGGCGTCCTCGTCCCCCCACCGGCTCCCTCCTCAACACTGGCGTCCTCCCCCACCACGGCGGTTCCTTCCCCCACACCGACGTCTTCTTCTCCGACCCCGACGTCCTCCTCCCCCACCTCGGCTCCCTCCTTCCCACCCTGGCGGCGCCCCTCCCTGACACCGGCGCCCTCCCCCACAGGGAGCTCCTGGCACCCTTAGATCTGGCGGCCATGGCGTTCCCCTTGTAGGCCCTCTCTCCCCCCTATATGTTGCAATTGTATCTTTCAATTGTTTCAGACGCTTCAGAGGTTGTTGCAGTTGAATCGTAAGGATGTTGCACAAGTAGATCTGAGGATGTTTTGCTCATGTTGCATTTGTTTCAAAGGTTTGTTGAAAGCACTGTTTTAAAATGTTTCACTTGTTTCTAGACGATGTTGCAATCATTCTGATCTAGATGTTTTCATATGCTTCGCACAAATGTTGCAATAATACTTCTAAAATGTTTCAGATGCTTAAATCTCATGTTGCAGTAGTTGTTCCATGTTGTTGCAAGTGTTTTTTATTCGAGCGTTGTTTTATATGCTTAACACCAGTGTTGCAATAATATGTTCCAAATGTTTCAGCTCCTTTAACCTATTGTTGCAACAGTTTGTTCCGTGTTGTTGCAATAATATGTTCATGGCGTTTCAGCTGCTTCAGCCTAATGTTGCAGCAGTTATTCCGTGTTATTGCAATAATATGTTCATGGTGTTTCAGCTGCTTCAGCCTAATGTTGCAGTAGTTGTTTTTCGTGTTTGTTGCAATAATATGTTCATGGTGTTTCGGCTGCTTCAGACTAATGTTGCAGTAGTTGTTCCGTGTTGTTGCATGTGTTTTATTCCAGCTTTCTATGTTGTTCGGCAGGGGAGGGGCGAGCCGGGGCGGGCGGGGGCGCGTGGTTCGCCGGGGGCCTAGCGGGCATAGGTGCTGGGGTCGGCGGACGCGGGGTGCTGTGGCCATGGGGCGCGCTGGGCATGCAGCATGCTAGAGTGGGCGTGGGGCGGACGCGACGGACTGCGGGGCGATCTGGGGGCGTACGGATGGGGGTCAGGGGCGTGCTGAGGGCGTGTAGACTGGGAAGGGGCGTGTGCTTGGCGAGTGCGTCCACGGAACCATCTGACGGATCGGTATCATCGGACATCCGGGCGCCGGCGCTCCCGTGGGAGATTGCCTTGAGGTCACGTGAGACGAGAGGGCAACTTGGTTTCGGCGGTCGCCCTCGCCCCGAACGCAGAAGAAGGTCTACTCTCCACCGGATGGCCGCCCACGGCAAGCCCAAGCCTGCCGGACCGCCCCCGCCCCCGCCCCCGCCCCCGCCTCCGCAGCCGCCCGAGGCGAGGAAGGGCTTCATGCGCCGCATGCTCCCTTTCCTCCTAGTCGCCAACCTCTTTGTCGGAGGTCAGCTTGCCTCCACTCCCCCTCCCCCTCCCTCCCTCGCTCATCAGTTCGCTTCGCTTTGGGGTCACTAGATTTGGGCTGCATCCCGCGATTTCTCGCTGTTTGGTACCCATAAGATGCCGTGTTAGGAGCAATCCCACCCGTTTGGTGTTTGCCCGTGCCAGTCTGACTAGGTTTAAGTGCCGCTGCGTAATTGTCCTCGGAGTCTGCTCTATCTAAGATCCGCTTGTGAGATCTTATTTTGGATCCAATTCTAGTGAGAAAAACAGCAACGTGCTTAGGCGTTATGGATTACGAGCTGCTCTCCTGTTTTTTTTTTTATTGACTGGTGCTCTACTTGCTGGCTGTAGTGGCTGATTCTACATTTTGAGTTTTGACCCAGCAAGTTCCTGCTAGCGACTTCGATTTTCGCATGTGGTTGCTACTCCACCCACTTAATTATGTACCAGAATCACTTTTCTAGTTACTTGGCTTCATAATCAATCAGCAGTTAGCGTTGGTTTCCCCCTACAGTGTAGGCTGAGCTTTCTTTCTGCTTAGAATATAGTACAGTAGAAAGCAATGAAGAACCTGTAAAAATGAGATGCAACCATAATTGAAGGTGATGTGTTTAGTATAGCAACGTATATAGTGGGCCGATCATACTCCATTTTTTTCCACAAACAGAAACCTGATCATAGTGGTGTTATCTGGTGTTCCAAATGTGGCTCAAATGCTTTCAATTGATCTGACAAAAACATGACTCAGGTCTTGGGTTACACTCGCCAATTATGAATGCGCAGATGTTTTGTTCATGATTACGCCAGCATGTTTCTTTCATCAAAGAGATAAATATGCACTAGACTTAAGTGCTGGGATGCTGTTGTTTCCAGTTCTGAAGGTTGTGCTTGGCTGCTTGCTCAAATCAAATCTTTAGATGGGTTGGTTTACTGAATTCTTTCTATAACATGTAGCTTATGTACTCGTGCGGAGCTACAAAAAGGACTCAGGAAAGAAGGACTCAACCACTGATCCTGCTACTGCATCTGCTGCAACTGCTGGGAAGTCTGCCGAACCAGTCTCTGTGCCCAGAAAGGAGCTCCCACCAATCCCTGAAGATGACCAGCGCAAGCTCTACAAATGGATGCTGGAAGAGAAGCGGAAGATCAAGCCACGCAATGCTGCCGAGAAGAAGAAACTTGATGAGGAGAAGGCCCTTCTCAAGGAGTTCATCCGAGCAGGATCCCTCCCGAGCTTATGAGCTCACCAGTTGTCTTTTGGATCTTTTGTGTCTAGTGTTCCACCAGGAAGGTGGTTGGGCCTGATTGGATTGTGTACAAGCACAGTACTGTGCTATCTTGTAAACTGATGTCTCCATGATTTAGCCTCCTCGATCCAAAGGTTGTGTGGATGCAAACTAGTATTGTGTGCATTAGTTCTAGAGATTCTTCAAGACTAAAAAAGAAAAAAAAACTTCTGTGTGAAATTATTTTGTTCCATCTGCGATTTGTTCTGTTGACATTTATGTTCTGTGGTTCTCAGGTGATGAGTAAGCCCATCGAATGCCATGTAACATATTGCTGAGACTGCAACTGGGCCCCAATCCTATTCAGAATATTCTTAACCACTTAATGCAAACCGTGTGGTGTTCTCTTCACAATTTGTGGGTGTATGTCTTTTGATAGCAACAGAAGGAGCCAAACTTTAACTCTTCCTGTGGTCCCAAGAGACCCAGTGGCTATGGATAGCCAGCCACAAGTCCAGCTTGCCCAAACAACATCCACTAGCTGGTGTATCTTCTTCTCTATGCTCTAGAAGATTAGTATTGTAGGGCTTCTGTGCAGCACCAAGCAGGAATTCAGAAAAGAATGCCTGGAAGCATCCACATATCAGGCAATTTCTTGTCCTATCATTCATAACTATGTTTTACTTGAAAATCTAAAAAAAAATCTCGTATTGTTCTGTTGGAAGCAAGAACTGATTGTGCTCCTTTTCTTTTTCCATTTTCCTTTTTACTATGCAGCCACTCAACCACCAGTCATCACCCCTCTGTTCTTGCAAGGTTTGAATCTCCGAATTCTACTTTCTTTCCTCGTTTTGCTTTCCATTTGCTAATTTTCTGTATTATATGTAAATTACATTTTCGATGCAGTCGCTGTGGGCAAAAGAGAATACAGTGGGAACATAGAACAAGATGATTTATCTTTGTAAGCTCATTTTCATATATTCCATTAATTGATATTTGACTAGTGCATCATTCATTTATTTTCATCACAACCAAATATATGTGTGGTGTGCAGCCCTGTTACATCACTTCGGGAGAGTATGGTAATAATGCTGTACAATGCAGACAAGGAATTGATATCGAAATCAGGTCTTTTTTAGCTGGTTATTCACCGTTCTTTTTGTACTTACCAACATCTATTAATTTATATGTTTTCAAAATCACCACAGAGCTGAAGACAAAAGCAATTGTGGAGTCAGGAACTATGGATGCAGTATTTACTCTTGATAGTGGAGGGAAAATAATTCTTCAGGTTCAGTTCTTACTCAATGATGATGACCGCAAGCGAATCCAAGAAATGGTAAGATGGCTCCTTCTGGGATGCCTTGTTAAAACTCCAGGGGCAAATTTCTTGATAATTTCAATAATATAAAGTAATGTATATAACTTGTCTTGTACTATTTATTTAGAGAAATTCTGCAATGAAAAGGAAACAACAAGAGCTGCTTGGGGATGGCAATGAACTCAATTTTCCAGGTAAACTAGTAATCACTACCAAAATGGTGGACTTCTCCTAGTGTTTTTAAGTAGTAATAAAACACTACCACTACTCATAGCACATGGGAATCTCACTAGGAGGCATTTAGTAGGGAAAAATTTATACTAAATTTTGAATGCTAAAACACTAGGAGAAGCCCACCTCACTAGGAGAAGTCTAAAATTGTGGTTGTGAATGTTTGCTTATTCAATTGTGTCTTATGTTAGACGCAAGCAACAGAAAGTGAACCTAGCTCAACTGGTTGGGTGCAGGTTCAAGTCCTCTTCTACTCGAACTTGGGTATCTTATTTCTTTGTTAATAATGAAAAATCGCCTAGTTCCTCCTAGGTTGGTCACATTTTCATTTTTGTTAGTTGCAAGCAACCAGTTGGAGATCTGTTGCACAAACGATATGCTTTCATGTTATAGACTAATCAGACTAGATGTGGTGTCATGGTGTTCATTTGTCTCCAAATAGGCTAATAACATAAGGTCCATCTGTTAGTATTTCTTTGAATTCCCTTGATGTTGTACACAGGCTTCAAGTAGAACAGTGGCCCACACATGTGGTGTCAGTGTGGATTTCATTAGAAACTTAGTGGTTTAGCCATTTAACTGTTTGCATATGATCCATCAATATGTTAGTGCATGCCTCACTCTTCAAATAAATGGAATGTAAAATGTAGTAACTAATCGAGTGCATAGTTGATATGGAGAATATTGGTAATTCTGTTGTCTAGTTCTTATCGACAACTTCCAAACTTGTTAGACAGCCCATTGTCTAAACGGCTCATAGAGAAGATTTCCAACATTCAAAGCAAAGGAGCTGAACGATCTAAGCTTCCGAAGAGTTTGTCACTGGATGATTTGCAAGAGAGGGCTGTGTTATCTGGAATAAATGTGGATCCACGGTTTAAGAAGGCCTCAAGAGACTCGTTGCTGCAAAGGGGTGTTAGAGACACCTTAAGCTTGGAAGATCCCAGTGGCTCCAAGAAAGGGAACACTATACCAGAGAGCAAATCAAGTAGTTCAGTGAGGAAGATGATAAGTACCTTTGAAGGCACCACCCCACAGGTTTGTTTTTCATCCAAACATTTTAAAACAAATGACCTTCATTTATCAGGAACATGCCATCTGTTGTCTCTAGTAGTGTTAGCCAAATATGATTGGTTGATGTGAAATACGTATATGGTAACTCTGTCCTCCCTGGACCTGCAGGGTATCATTTCAGAAACTGATGTATCACCCACACCCACCGACTCAGGTAGCACGCAGGCAGGCAAAACAGTCATCCCTTTTGATGATCATAAAGCTTCAAATTACAGGTCAGGGAAAACCGTTTCGTCTCAGCATATAAAAACAAGTGAACCTGTACAAACTGGGATGCCAAAAACAACTGAAAGCAGCAGAAGCCGTAGTTCTGAAACTGGTGTATCACCCACACCCACCGACTCAGGCAGCACGCCGGCAGACAAAACAGTCATTCCTTTTGATGATCATAAAGCTTCAAATTACAGGTCAAGGAAAACCGTTTCATCTCAGCATATAAAAACGAGTGAACCTGTACAAACTGGGATGCCGAAAACAACTGAAAGCAGAAGAAGCCGTGATCACGGCGGTGTATCACCCACACCCACCGACTCAGCAAAGACACAGCAGGCAAAAAAGCGGTCATCCTTTTGATGATCATAAAGCTTCAAATTACAGGTCAGGAAAACCGTTGCTTCTCAAAGCATATAAAAACGAGTGAACTGCATAAACCGGGATGCCAAAAACAATCGAAAGCAAAGCGAGGTTATAGTTTACGGCGGTGTATCACCCACACCCACCGACTCAAAAGACGACGACGCACAGAGAAAAAAGCAGTCATCCTTTTGATGATCATAAAGCTTCAAATTACAGGTCGAGAAAACCGTTTGTCTCAAAGATATAAAAACGAGTGAAACCAGCATAAACGGGATGCCGAAAAACAATCGAAAGCGAAGAAGCCGTAGTTCAACGGCGATGTATCACCCACACCCACCGACTCAGGCAGCACGCAGGCAGGCAAAACAGTCATCCCTTTTGATGATCATAAAGCTTCAAATTATATGTCAGGGAAAACTGTTTCGTCTCAGCATATAAAAACGAGTGCACTTGTACAAACTGGGATGCCAAAAATTACCGAAAGCAAAAGAAGCCATAGTTCTGAAACTGGTGTATCACCCACACCCACCGACTCAGGCAACGTGCAGGCAGGCAAAACAGTCATCCCTTTTGATGATGATCATAAAGCTTCAAATTACAGGTCAGGAAAAACCGTTTCGTCTCAGCATATAAAAATGAGGGAACCTATACAGACTGGGATGCCAAAAACAACTGAAAGCAGAACAAGCCGTAGATCTGGTAGTCGAGACGGAGCAAGCAAGCAAAATCTGAGAGAAAACGAGCTGATCAGAATTAAGAGGAGACCCCAAGCAAAGCATCAGCGCTCCATTGGTCCCTCCTATTCGGCGGAGCAGATGCACTCAAGAGACTACGTTGAGCGTCCCTTGAACTATCTGGTTGCAACATCAAGCACCTGGATACACCCACACATTTGTGTCACAAGCGCGAGCAAACAACTAAAAGACCTCCTTGAGCTTGAGCTTCTGAACTCGCTTGCTCATATCCAACACACTGGCAAAAGCCAGCATGTACAGGAAGATATCCAAGAGGTATGGAAGTAACTGTCATGTTAGTGTTATTACTGAGAAGTTTGCTCCTAACTTTTGTGACCTGGTGTCTAATTTGTGAAGCAGAACAAAAGCGACGAATCCATTGCCGCTGCTCAAACTCGAAGCGGTGGTTTCCCGATGATAAACGGGTGGCTGATAAATCAGGCGAGTCATGGGAAGTTTGTTTCTGATAGAGTTTGCTGTTAGTTTTAGCCAGGAAAAGATGATGAACTTGTACTCATTATGAATGTTATCTGATGTGCGCAGGGAGTGCGTGCTGCAATTGTGGTGATAGCTTGCGGGGCTATGTTCTTCAACAACAGATGAAAATCTTTGTGTCAAGCAGTGCCGCTGCCATTAATTTATCTTTTTTTTTACTGCAAATTTCTATACCTAGGAGGACGATGGCCAGATTTTGCATACAGAGCTCACATTACTACTCACATTAGTACATTAGCTATATAATTGTAAAGTTTTGAGTGCAACACATGATTCAAATTTTGGAAATGGTACCGCTAATTTGGTAAAAAAACATACTTATGTGTGGCGATTTTTAAAATGTCAAATTATGTTTGTCATGACTTTTGAGTTAGGTTGCACAAAGCGTTGAGGTCTTTAGTTATTCGACGTGCACGAAGTTAAGAGAAAATGATTTGTGGTTTTCACCTAAACGCTAACTCCTATTATTATTCTCGGTTTATTATTAACAATGAAATGATTTCCAGTTCAGTAACGAAAACTATATTATTGGACGCATGCTTGGCTAAACATTGGCAAAGAAATGAAGCGCCACTGATTTACTGTTTTGGTCTAAATTTTGGCGATCTAGGCATTGACAAGTGTGGCTTGATGGGCTGATGGCAGAGATGTTGACGCCGGCGTTGCATATGTAATGTAAAATGTTTTTTACCAGATGACGTGAATTTAAGACGGGTGACCTAGAAAGTGCGCTAATTACGAAATTTGAGAACATGCCGGGATTCGTCACCTTTCTTGACGCTATGATCGGTATTTCTTCTTAATGATGAAATATTTCGGGAGAGATTTTCTCACGGATTTTTTTAATGATCTTGGCCAGTAGTACTTGCTACTGTAGCACCACTCGCAAAAGAAATAAAAAACTTACTTCAGCGACCGACATATGGGCCCCACATGACAGAAGCCGACCTGTCCTGCTCCTCTGAATCCTGATCCGTGCGGGTGCAGCAGGGCCATCTCCATCTCCTCCTCCATCGCGAAGCCGCGGGTCGGAACCGAGCTCCTGCGTCAACCAGATCACACGAACCAAACCACCGCCTCCTCCCCCGATCCTCACCGCCGGCGCCCATGGCGACACGCTACTGGATCGTGTCGCTGCCCGTGCAGTCGCCCGGCGCCACCGCCAGCTCCCTGTGGTCGCGCCTCCAGGACTCCATCTCCCGCCACTCCTTCGACACTCCGCTCTACCGCGTAAGCGATCCTCTCCGACCCCTCCCCCCTCTTCCTGCCGGAATCTAATCTCGCGTCGCCTCACCGTCTCCGCTGTCCGCGCAGTTCAACGTCCCGGATCTCCGCGTCGGCACCTTCGACTCGCTCCTCGCCCTCAGCGACGACCTCGTCAAGGTTCCGCGCCTTCGCTTCCCGCACGATCTCGATCTCCTTTCTTTTTCCCTCTCCCTTATGCTGCCCCGAGCACTAGCCTCTGATTCAATGCCATCTATACCCTGCCTGCAGTCCAATGTCTTCGTGGAGGGCGTGTCGCACAAGATCCGGAGGCAGATCGAGGACCTCGAGCGCGCCGGAGGGGTCGAGAGTGGGACCCTCACCGTCGATGGCGTCCCCGTCGACACCTACCTCACTAGGTCTGCTGCAAACTAATATACTGCCCAGACGATCGGATGAATGTTCTGTTTAGCTTAAAAGCTTCTGTGTTGGCTGCGCGTGCAGGTTCGTGTGGGATGAGGGCAAGTACCCCACAATGTCTCCGCTCAAGGAGATTGTCGGCAGCATTCAGTCACAGGTTGCCAAGATTGAGGATGATATGAAGGTCGGTTTGCACGTCTTAGTCTCCTCTTTGCTTATCCGTTTTTGTGTCCTGGCCTGGCCTACCCCAATCTGTCGCTGGTATAGCAACATCAATTCATTAGCTAGACTCGCGGATAGTTTATTTACTACTGTTGGTTGGGATTTAGGAGCTAAGGTTGCTCTTCAGACTTCATCACAACTGAAATATATACAACCATACTCATATATGTGTAATAAGATGTCATGTTTATACTTGTTTCCCAAACGTGTAAATTTCAAAGGAGCTCAGTACAGTTGACAGTGCATTCTAGGGGATTTTGCTCGCTTTCATGTCAATTTACCGTTATCACTACATTGTTCTAACCACTGTTTGATTGACTATTAGATCTACTGCCACTTGTCCTAGCATAGAGTTGTCACATGCTTCTGATACAGAATTACGGAACCACTAGGATGCAAAGTGACGAGAAACCATTGATCCCAGATTTTGTCAGGACTCAGGACAAAGAAAAATCGTGTTTCTCAGCTAAAATACCATTTGGTTCTCTGGCTGTGGTTTTATCTTTGCCCTCAATTCTATGACTCGTTTTTATTGTACTGATACATCTCGTCAATAACTTATATGCTTTATTTTTAATTCACAACTTCTAAAAAAATACTCTCTTCCCCAGGTTCGAGCAGCGGAATATAATAATGTAAGGAGCCAGCTTAGTGCAATCAACAGAAAGCAAAGTGGGAGGTAAATTGCATTGTCATACTTGTGTGTGCGGACCCTAGAGGAAGTGCTTGATGCCAAGACCATTACGCATTTTCTTTCTTGTTTATTGTAAAAGGAACAGTAGAGCGGAACTGAATGATATATTCATTTCATCTGTTGCTTTTCCTATACTAATTAGTTTGTCTTTTTATTGTGTGAAAGCTTAGCGGTTCGTGATCTTTCCAATCTGGTAAAACCGGAGGATATGATCACCTCGGAACATCTTGTGACCCTTCTTGCGATTGTTCCCAAGTACTCCCAAAAAGACTGGTTGTCAAGCTATGAGACACTTGACACATTTGTGGTAAGGTTAAATTTTTATTGTGCTCTTCATTTATCATGCTTTCTGCTTGTTAGAACCTCCCATATTGGCATATTTTTCTTATAACTTTCCTTTTGAAGAGAATTGAATAATGTTTTTAACTATCCTTAGGAGAATTTTACTTTAATTAAAATCTGTCAAGGTTGTCTAAATTATGTCCTTGATTTCCTTATATGGTTATATTCATACTTGATTTGACTGCCCCATTCATATGAGCTAACTGATAATTTTATAGGTACCTAGGTCATCTAAAAAGCTCTATGAAGATAACGAATATGCTCTCTACACTGTGACACTATTTGCTAAGGTTGTTGACAACTTTAAGGTCCGTGCCCGCGAGAAGGGTTTTCAGGTAAGGTTTCCTTGAGAGTCTTTTGTTTACACTTTACATTAAATCTGGTTATCCTGCTTTAGTCTTTTGTCATCCACTAAGTTTTATGTCATTTGATTCCAGGTCCGTGATTTTGAGTACAGTTCTGAAGCACAGGAAAGTTGGAAGCAGGAGATGGAGAAGCTACTGCAAGACCAAGAAGCTATGAGGACCACTCTTCTTCAATGGTGCTATGCCAGCTACAGCGAGGTACTTGTCTTTTCCTACATAATCTAGTGGTCCTAACAACGACTGTATTTTCTTTCCTTAAAGATTCTATTGGTTACGTTTCTGCTGTAAGTGTCACTAATGTTGAATGGAAATTTTAGGCCATGTTTCTATGGAAAACCATTATGCCGTTAATGTTTCCTGTCATTATTGTCTTCATTTGCATTAGAATTGATAGGTTTCTCTTATTTGAAATTTTAAGTAAGGACATTTGTTGTGAGTCCTGACTCTGTGGCATGGTGGAACTGGTTTTTGCTTTATGTTAATATTTCACCGGTACAACCTTGTTATTTATGGAAAAATTCG